AAAATTGAAATTGTGAGGAAAAAGTATACCAGATGATAGAGCTCGGAGAGCTATACAGCCTACAATAAGAATCGACCGACTTCGAAAGCGGTATTATGGTCCGAGCCTGCATTTTTTAGCCGTCGAACGATTTTTGCCCAACCAGGCTATTAAATGTCGGCCGGCTCCGCTTACTGATTTCAATTCTGCTCATTTTTTTGGAGTTGTTTATCATAATGTCAAAAATGTATATTTTACTGGAAAGATATATTCTCTCTTTCTGAAAACTTAATTCCAGAACAGATATTCCTTCCAAAATGTAAATGTAGATTGCCCGTTTATCTGAAATTTTATATCGGAATACGACCGTTTTCATCTCATCCACTTTCTCAGATCTTCATAAAAAGTTGGGCCCGTTCTTCGCACGATTTCTATCTAGACGAGATATGTGTCGTGTGTTTTGGAAATAGCTTCAGGTAGTACTTAAAATAGACAAAAAATTGAAAAAAAGGTCAGACGAGATTGTAGGGTGAAATAAAAGCGGTGGTGAGGCGGTCGAAAGAATTCATTTATAGCTTGGTCGAGATGTTTTAAAGTATATTACCGTTCGCATAAATAATAATCGACCCATAAAGAATGTAATAATGTTCCACTTCACTTTGTTCTCTACAATTGTTTAATTTTATGTTTTATATTATCTTCACTAATGAAATTTTTTGAATTTGTTCATCACCTTATTGGTTTTTTTTTGTTGAGAACACATTTTTATGAAACAGAGTTCTTGTAGTTTGAGCTTCTCAAAGCATCTTTCTGTTAGATTTCTTATAACGTTTCGACTCTCAACAAACCTTAAAGATTTTCAATAACGCTTGTAAAATTAATTGGATAAAATTTTCAGTTACTTTTTTTGAAAATTACTTTTCCAAACTTTTGTGATTTTTCCTAAATATACAGCACATGTCACAAACTAGCAAATTGGCATATATTTCATAAAACACCGTAAGATTAGTCTTAGTATTGTTGAATTTAAAAAAAGTAGTCCAAAGAAACTGGTCGGGGCGCGATTTCTGTCCAGTTTCTTTGGAACCCAGTAAGCACCTCAGAATTTGAAAGCCGTTGTTTGTTTTGATTTATGTATAAGGCGGCGCTGAAAAATCTTAAAATTTCAGACTTTTGCCTCGTTCGGTCGATTTTCACAATAAAAAATTAGTTTTTGAACAATAGATTCTAGAAATGCTGGCGATCATATTTCTATCAAAAAATCTAAATCTTGTTCAGAAAACCAAATTAAATTCACAAAAATTGGTTTCGCTTAATACAGTATTGGTTTCGGAGGTGGGCCTCGTTAATCGATACGAACGCCGCCCGTGAAATTTCTAGGTGCCAGCTTTTTTTAAATTTGAAAATAAGCGAGTTTTCAAAAATCGTGTTTAAATATCATAGTTATTGGTTTCAGTTATTCAGTTATGGTAAAATCTATAACAGAAGAGCCTCTATACTTTCTCTTTGAGCTCGATTATCTGAATTTCTGTATGAGATATCAAAAGTCTGTCAACAACTAATAAAACGTTTATCATAATTTCACCAATATTTTATCAGTTGACCACTTTTTTTTGTATCGTTGACCGGAACCGAGATAAATTGGTTCAAAGTTAAAAGTTAGGGGCCATTCTATTACAGGTTTCACTGAACATTATTCTAGTTCAAAAAGCCAACATAAGCCGTTCATTTTTAAGATGATCATAAGTTCGTCCAAAAAATTATTGAAGATATCCTCCTTATAATTTTTCCAATGTGTGTTTTAAATTTTTACGGATAGCATCTCTACGTCACTTCTCCACCTGAATCGGATTGTGTACACAGTCACACCAACCTCTAAATTATTGATGTCTCAAAGAAAGCCTGCAAAAAGGAGGGAAAAAAATGGTCGGAACCCTTACACGCTTATGACCTCACTGACGCGGGATGGGCGGGCTGTGGATTCACTTATAAGAAGGTGTGAAAATTATGATACGCTAAGCAAATCGCGGTTATTCATATTCCATCTGATTTGTCATTTGACACCTTTAATCACAATATGAGCGGATCTTCAGGATGTGAGTTTTAAAGTTTTGGCCTATTACCAGAATGTTGACCTAAAGATTTTTAAAAAATTTTAAGAGTTCCGAAAATTATGTGGGATCAATTTAAAACTTTTTTCAGCTACACCATCTTCACCTGGAATGTGCCTAGTTTGTAGACTATCCTGTCGAACTCACTTCCACTTTGGTGGAGCTTCGTGTACAGCCTGTGCTTCATTTTTCCGAAGAACAGTTTCCCTGAACATTAGATATGTGTGCAAGCGAGAAAATGATTGTATCAGCTCACCGGAAGTTCGGAGCATCTGCCGAGCATGCAGATATGATTGTTGTATAAACAAAGCTGGAATGAACCGGGATTGTAAGTAGGAATACATATTTCAACTGTGAAAACTATTTTCAGTGGTGCAACAGAGGAAAAATGACAAGAGAACACCGAAATATGTTTTGAATTCCAGGAACGAAGGAGGGGAAATAGTGAGAGGTAATGTAATTTTTCATAACTAAAAAAAGGCCCTTTTAATATTTTCTGAGTGAAATGTCAGCATGAAAAGACAGAAGGGGCCCATGGGTAAAAATTATGTCTAAGTGAAGGTTTTTCGATTTTTTCAAGTTTTGCCATTGTTTTTATGAAAATTTCGTACTTTGTGCTTGTTTCCATAAAAATGCATAACTTCAAAAAAAGTTCAGTTTAGGTCGTTTTTTCCACGAACAACATTTTTTTTGCTTTTGAAACTGTGTAATTTCAATTTATTAAGCTGATATTTGATTAATTTAGGCTTAGGAACAAAAGAGTCATACAAACATGTATAAAAATGACATAAACTGAAAATTTCAAAAAATGATGAAAAATGTTCAAAGCACGAAATTTTAGTGGAAATAACCACAAAACTTGGAAAAATGGGTAAATCTTAACTTAGGCATAATTTTTCCATTTGGCCCCCCCCCCCCCCTTTCTCATGCCCCCCCCCCCTTGTCATAAAGAGCCGAAAAATTAACATGACAGTGTGAGGCCTTTCTATTACAGGGTTTTTGCCAATTAAAATAATCAAACTATTCCAGACTACACCACAAACTCTTATACAACGTTACACGAGTTCTCACAAGGAGAACAATCAGAAAGCAGTCCATCTCCTTCAGTGAGCAGTGAAGGGAACGAAGAATTCAGCAAAATTCTGGATGTAAGCCACGGAGAGCTTTTAAACTACTATGTAAAACAAGTAGAGCTTGCCAAGAGTGCAAATGTAAAGGTAAATTGATTTCAAATTATTTTTTTCATGTCGTTGGCAGTTTTAGAATACTCTTCTGGTAAACAATATTGAGGAACTTCTGGAGGTAATAAACATTCAAAGCGAGTGGGCACTCGACGCTTGTACGATGTGTCCTGGAGTTGATATTCTCGATCGGGATGACATCGTGGTTCTGCTTAAATATTTTGAGTTTGCCAATATTTGGATTGATTCACTCTGGGAGTATTCTACCTCATTGAACAAAGAAGAGTTCGATAGAAAATGCGATGAAACTTGTAATAGAAGGGCCCCCCACACTGTTCAGTGTGAGCTTATTTTTCTTTGCTCCTGTGCAAAATATCAAAAATGTGTAGCTGACAGAAAATATTTTTGACATTATGATAAACAATTTATCAGTTGAGAACTTATTCTTATCTTTTTCAAGAACCGAGAGCTCTGAGATCCAAGTTGAATGTTCGGGGGCCATGATAAAAATTATGTTTGAAACTTTGAACAAATATATCTCGGTTCCTGTGAAAGACATTCATTAATTTTTAAAGCAAAACTGTTTGTCTTGAAATCAGAAACATTTCATCAGTTAAACATTTTTCGATATATCAAACAGAAATAGAGATAATTAGGTTCAAATGGAGCCATCTTTTAAAGGAGTTTCACAGATTTCAAAAAAAAATTCAAGTATTTTTCAAACGTGACAAAAATATTTATTTGTTTATAAAAGAAATCTACGTAACAAAAAATATATATAAACTTTCGAAATTATAGAAAAAAAACGCTGCGTGGTATAGCAACCCACGACCCTAGTTGGCCCATTGACCTCAGGAAGAGCACTATAAAGGAAGAGAGAAGTGAGAAGAGGCCCTGGGGGCTTGGGCCTGGGCCTGGGGGCCTGGGCCTGGGAGCCTGGGCCTGGGAGCCTGGGCCTGGGGGCCTGGGGGCCTGGGCCTGGGGGCCTGGGGGCCTGGGGGCCTGGGGGCCTGGGGCCTGGGGGCCTGGGGGCCTGGGGGCCTGGGGGCCTGGGGGCCTCGGGCCTGGGGGCCTGGGGGCCTGGGGGCCTGGGCCTGGGGGCCTGGGCCTGGGGGGCCTGGGCCTGGGGGCCTGGGACTGGGGGCCTGGGACTGGGGGCCTGGGACTGGGGGCCTGGACATTCCAAATTTTTTTCCAATCCATGCCAAATCGTGTTTTTGATGTTTTCACTTCAAATGGTGCTGCCACTAAATGTCAAATTATCTATTTCTCTTATTTTTCGGAGGTAACCGTATAAATATGAAACGTTTGCAGAGAGCCATTTTTCAGTCAAAGTGTTCTAATTTTGCCAGTTTTGCTGGTATCATCATGAAAATTGTCAAGGGTATGTAATTTGAGGTTCTGAATCCGATTGTTTAGTTGCAGGACAGTTATTTTCATCGGTTCTCCTGTTATACTCCAAAATTAGGGTGACCGTATAAATGTGAAACACTATGATGGTCCCTCATGTTGTAAATAAGAATACACGGTACTCAAACAGAAAGCTTTATTTTATCGTACATCACCGGTTGACAATGCTAATCTACACAACATCGATGCATAACGTAAAATGACAATGTGAAGACTGTTTCGATGAATCTGATAGATCAACAAATATGGAGAATTGAAAACACGTATTTTCATCAGACGGGTTGAGAGACACCAATGGAACAACTTTTTTGTAGACATCTCAATTTTCGATAGAGAGATCGACTTCCAGGACTTGGTACATTTGAAGCATGTCTTGATAGACATTCTGGAAAAGGAATTATATGATTTCAAAGCCCTTATTGGTAACTTACGAAAATAGAGCCTAGGATAAGTGTGATATCACCAAGACGGGTTGCGACTTCACTCGCATCCATATTTTTGTCGTACTGCAAAAAAAATTAATCGTCAAAGGCTTTAAGTAAATAATTTTCTTACATGGTAATACTTGCTAATTGCGCTTGTCACTGCGGAATATTGCTCGTGAGCTACAATTTTCAACGTGAGAGTTGAATCCAAAAGAGCCAGTTTCCAAATGCAAAATGATTTCAGGGCAGCATATTCGAAAACATCGAGTTGAAGTCGTGAAAGCTCCGTAGTGATACTAGAATGGAAACGGAGGATGAAGTTGATAAGCGTACTGCAAAGTTTACTATGAATTCAGTTCACTCAACTACATTTTCAGATTGTTTTTCAAAGTTTAATTCAATTAATTCCTCACCTAGACAATTCTGTGCCTTCTGTACCCTTTTCGTATCCATTTTCGTATCCAAGGACCTTTCGGTTTGTCGTTACAGTATCTCCGCCAACAATCTGAAGACTTTGTTCATTTTTGTTTGCTGGTCAATTGTTTCGATGGAAACTTGCGATAGTTCCCATATAAGTACTCACGTCATTTGAAGTACTACTGGAGACAGTAAGCCATGCAGAGTCCATCCAAAGACTAGAGAATGAGCAATAACGGAAGAGTACATCGAGGTCAGCTTGTTCAAGTAGATCCGTGCCAGGACAGGTTTGGCAAATGTCTAGTGCTAGTTGATCGTTGATTTTCTTGGAGACAAGAAACTGTTGATAAGCGTCCTGCAAATGATGTCATGATTTTTTGTGGAATACCGTAACCCTAGCAACAAATTTCAAGCAAACATGTAAAAGACTCGCTTATCATAACACGGCAATGGCAAAAAACTATCAATCTATTTTTCTTGTGGGTTACGGTAGATTCACAAACCTCTGGTAACTCGCATTGTCTCATTACCGTTGCTCTCTCAATTTGCTTCACGTAGTACTGTAGCAGCTCATCATGTTTTGCATTGAGAATCGTGCTGAATTGCTCATTTTCCAAATCCGATTTTTCTTCTGATGATATATCGTATATAGTTTCAGATACACCATTAGTGGATATGCATGGAGAAAATTCAGGAGAGTTGGATCTTGTTGAGTTTGTTGGACTATCACTACCAGATGTTACACTACCAGTGCTCCGAGTTGTGGTGTATCCTGGAAAAATATTTTTAGTTTTGGTTTTTAAATTTAATTATGCACCTCGAACGATTTCCTGAACACCCAACTTCCGTGACTCCAAAATGTATTTTGGCATCTTCTGCTCATCTTTTTTCTGCTGCACTTCTAAAAATCGCCAATAAATTAAAACTTTTCCAATAAACAACTTACGTTCTCTTCTCATTCCCGCTTTGATACAATTTTTGTACCGGCATGACCGGCAAATGAATTTGATATCTGTAAAAATTGTTTTTGCAAAGACATTTTACAAATAAGTTCCAAGAAAGCTCACCTGGAGAAATCACACAATCATTATTGGCTTTGCACAAAAATCTGATTCCAAAAGAAACAGTTCGTCGGAAAAACGAAGCACATGCCATGCAAGACTGAGCACCAAAATGGTAGCTGGTTCGCTCGGTAACAGTGCATACGAGACAGGGATCTGAAAATTTGAAATTAAGAAATGTTGATCTTAAAACTTTAATCCACTATGTTTCCTTCAATATCGTTCCATCTTAACACATACAGTTTACTCGGAATGACTCAAAAAAGTGAAGACTCCCAAAAAACCAGTATTAAAATGAAGTGCTCTTTTATTACAGGGGCCCTTCAATTAGAGGGGGCCCTCCTATTTTTCCAGCCATTATTTTTCAAAAGTTTTCATCGAATGTTTCGAGGAATTCTACTTCAATGTTCACGAAAATCTATCAGTTTTACCGAAAGTGTCCGAGTTTTTGTTTCAACCAATTTCTGGGAAATTGTGGAATTCTCGAATTTCACTGAAAGCGTACGAACGTAAGGGGGTACTTCATATATTTAGATATGCCTTTCTAAAACAGGTTGTACGGTAAAATGGAAACACACAAATAAAAAGGATACAGAATCAGTGGATAGCAATTTCAGGCAACTATTTTTTGAATGTTTTCAAAACACTACTTTTACAAAATCACAGTGAATGTGTAGATGTCAGAGTAACAACCGTTTGATTAAAAGTTGAGATAAAAGTTATCAAATAATAAGATTTTATGAATAAATTACCTTGTTGCCTAGACATCGTTCAGGAATTGAGTAGAATTTAGTAGGGGAATTTCAAAGTTCAAAATGGAAAAGAATTCTCAAATTAATTGTTTTGGTCTCGCCACTCCTTCAAATATATATACGCTCCTATCTCGGAAATCAGCCGGTCCAAAAATTCACATGAATCGGGTAGGAAACTTTTTTTTCATCCAACGTTCTTTTTTCTTGCGAATCGCTCAAAATCTGATAAAGTGCAAATGTCTTCCCAGTGCTATTGTTCTCAATTTCTTTCATATTTTGTCTCGGTACGTTGAAAAACGTGCTACCCGAGGAATCCCGCCCACACCTTGAAAGGCCAGTATTGATGGTGGTGCGATAGTCAGGAGTGTTTTAGAAGCTACATTGGTTTATTGAACGATATAGAATGATACAATAGAGGGGCTTTTATACTGGTTACATGATAAAGAATTTAATAAAAGAAAGTGATTGCGGGGGATGCAATGCACATTCCCCGGTGAATCACCATCAGAAGAGTGCGATTTAGCACAAGGAGGTTGGGATAAGGTAGATTTTTGAGAATACTGTAAGTGAAACAGTGGGAAAGCATTGTTATCGGAAATTCGTTTTTCAGTCACACGGAAAGCTCGAATATTGGTTAAAAATTAATAACGAAAATATTTGTTACAACTGCAGCTGTTGGTGGGAAGTTCACAGTGTTTCAAAGCAACGGGTCAAAAATCGCGCCCCAGAAAACATTTAGGCCAAACGAAATTTAATAATTTCAAAGTCGACGTGGATTTGACCTAATTATTCTTAATCAACGCGTTGCAACGCGCGATTTTTTTACTCAACGTTTAAAAGTTTGATCCTCAGCCAACGAAACGAAGACACGTTGCGCAGTGATTTCTCACGTTCGCAGGGGCGCGTTTTCTGACCAGGTTCTCCGAAATAGCGGGAAAGTTGTTATTTTTGCCAAGTTTTGTTTATAATTTTCTAAAGGGGAATTAGAAAGCTCACACAACTCTTTCATTTGTCCATAAAACATCGTAAACGTTTTTTTCTGAAACCCTACGTTTACTACAGTACCACGAATGACAGTTTCTGAAAAAAAAAACTTAGAAATCGTATTGTCTTTTAGTCAGTTACGAGCGCTATATCCTAAAAAACTAAATAACAACGCAAGTGTGCATTTCTTCCCATTTTCAGCAAATGCATACAGTTTTTGTAATTTGGAAATTACTCCTGATTGGTTTTTAAAATCTTTTTGTAAGATATAACTGAATTTTAGAAACTTCGTTTCGATTTTTACAAAATTTTGATAGTTTTCTTTAACCTCTTCAAAATTAGAAGTATTATATGAATGCTACATTACCGGTCAGTAAGATATACAAAAACGTATCGTTCAGTTGATTTCAGCCTATTTGACCATTTTCAGGAGTCTGAACCTAGACTGTCAAGTGTTAAATCTTCTCGGTTCCTGTCGAAGATATGGCAAAGTTGTCAACTGATGAATTGTTTATCATGATAGCACAAACATTTTATCAGTTGACACATTTTCTCATCTCTTATACGGACCGAGATGGTTGAGATTAAACTTGACATTGTGGGGTCGTTCTATTACAGGTTTCACGGTATCTTTGGCTTTTTTTCCCCATTCGCTTAAAAATCATTTCTTAGCGTCATTATAAATATTTGACCTGAATTCTACAACAGCAGTGAATCACTTTCACTGTATCCAAACAAAAAATGATTGTCCACACCTTTCTTCTAAAATTTCGGGAAACGCCGAAATGCTTTCTTTTCCAAGAACTATTTCATCCAGGAAGAAAGATGAAAAAAGTCCAAGAATTCAACTAGACTTGTCTGAGCGCATGATGATATCTACCGAAACAATTCGTTCCCCGAGTGCGATCGGTCGATGCAAATCGAGATAAGCACGGAATGACGTCAAATAAAACAGGGTGCCCAGTGCGAGGAAAATTTTGGTTTTTGATGAGACAATCAGATTAATTGGGAAATTCTATGAGTGCACCTACAAAACATGAATACGATTATTGTGAATAGTAGATTGGCACCTGGTTATGCACACGAAGACTTCCGAATCGGAAGTTCCGACGCAATGAAGGAGCAGGGATAGTTTTCTCATCTTATTAGCAAAAGAGTCCTAGAAACATTCTCAGATCGATAGTGCAAATATCGGCCTGACCACGGCTAGGATTCCAAAAACTCTAAAATACGATCTGAAATTGTAATAACATGTTTTCTGGTTGAACTTTTACGATCTGACTTTGAAGGTTATACTAAAATCCGTTCAGAATACAAGTTTCCATTCCCAAAACCTTTCATATTTGTAAATCCATCCTTTCAGAGCGTTTGACATGATAATAAAACTTTACCAATTCAATTCGAAACATCACTTCCATATTTCTCTTTAGATACCATCTTCTAGTCGTTCAATGACCAATTTTTTGTATTGCAATTCGCTGGATGTTTTTAATAGTTATTCACAATCTGATTGTGGTTTATGCCGGCTACTTCTTGAACTATTTTTTCAAATAGGCTGCAGAGGTAATCTACTACTTCAGTATTACATCTACAGTAAGATTCCACATGGTAGTCATGTGAATTCAAGAAAGGGTTCTTCGATACATACCGTGAAACCTGTATTAGAAAAGCCGACCCTTCTATTGTTCAAAGGCATCTTTAGAGGGCTTTTCCATTTTTCCGGCAATTCTTATGGAATTGAAGGGACAGTGGAATCTAAAATAAAATAGTTAAAACCTCTGAATATACCATTTAATCAAAAATATAACTTTGCAAAGTCATGTGCGCTTCCGCACTTGTTGGTGACGTGCACAATATTGCAAGAATATACACATGTTTTCGGGACCTCATCATTTTTTTTTCGGAGGATTCAAAAAATCATATTCTTGTGTTTTTCTTGAGCACATAATATTGCAAGCTATATATGACACGATATCGAAGCTTACTCAGTTTTTTACTGTCTTGTTTTGCTGCAAACGGGGTAACTATTTTATTACTTTGAAAGTACTAAATGTTTTGAATTGCCGGTTCAGATTATTCCTGACACATTCATGGATTACAAAATGGTCGTGACTTGCGGTAAACCATTGAAAACATCAGATAGTACTGTGTTAACAATTTCTTGGGACGAATGTGTAAATGAGTGTTGGAATGATCCGAATTGTGTGGTCAGTTTTGTTTTTCGAATGTGAGAATGTATTTTTTTTTTTCAGCTAGTCTATGACACCTCCCCCACTTGCAATTACTACAGTATCGAACAAATTACGACGGTCCAGAAGCTCACAGCCTCTAGCAAAAGCAGAGTAGCTTTTCGCCTCCTCTCTAGGAATAAAACATGTACTGACGATAAAGAAGAACCAATTCTGAAAAACGGAACTGTTCAGGTACACAGTAAATTAATCGAAATGCGCAAAATAGATAATGTTCCAGAGTGACGTCCAACGAGACGCCAGTGCCTATACCTTCAATCAATACCTTCCTATCAACATCACATTGAAAAATAATGTTTGGACATTTACTCAAAGGAGTGAACCATTCACTTGTTTCCCAAGAATGGAACCAATAAGAAGAGGCGGAGCGATTTGGTGTATGCAGGTCAGTTTCTGCTTCAGTACCATTCATGAAAGTAAACCTACAGGTTGGAACTAGCGGTTCTTGTATGAACCGAACATTTGCCAACCAAATGTGCAAGGCTAGTTTTCAACAACCCTTGGCAGGCCCTGCCAATGCAGCGGAATACCAATATCTAGAAAGTATGAATAATCTCTATAGCATTTTTATTTCAAATAGTTACAGCAATGGCAAATAGTTACTTGAGCAACTTTGTTGATCCTAATGCACTAAACCCTACACTCAAATGGCTGGCTGGTCAACCAGACGGTCTGCCACAAAAAACAAATGCTGACTGTGTGTACTACTTTGCCAGAAATAATTCCCAATCAGGAATCGACGACATGCTGTGGGTGTTGGTTATTTTTGTACTAACGTTATCACATGTTATTCCAGGTGCCAAAATGCAGTGTTTTCTCATCAGAATATTTGTATGGTTGGATATTACTGTGGAAGTCGACTAGGGCCGGATACTTGGACCTAATTATTTTCAGTTGTATATACTTTTTCTAGCTAGTGTAGATTTTATAGAGGCCCCTATAAATTAAAAGATTAAGCAAAACGTTGACCATTGATCAAACTCAAAACACTTCACGATGCGTGACAAGTCATGGGGGACATAGCCCATTAAAACGGACATGCCCGACAGATTTAGAGACTTCATATTCCCAGAAAAAGCTCTTCAAAGCCACCCACACAAAATGAACTATTCTCACTACACATACTTCACTATTTTATTGTTAACTGTAACTGTCGAAAAATTGGTGAGAACCATTTTAAACTTTTTAAGTAACATAAAGTTTTGAAGAACTCTTCATTAGATCCAAATGATTACAAAATGATTGTAACTTATGGGAAACCTTCCATTTTTACTACTCCCACAGTTTATTCTATTAGTTTTGAGGAATGTATGCAGAAGTGTTGGATGGATGAAACATGTGTGGTTAGTTTCGTATGCGGCGCTTCAAACATCTGGCTGGTGTGCCTACGGCGCGAGTTCGTCGCTTCGCTTGTGAGCTTAAACATTGAGCCCATTTATCTCCGTCTCTGTAAAAGATACCAAAAAGTAGTCAACTGACAAAATTATTTGATATTATAATGAACCTTTTGTTAATTGATCACTTTTTGATATATGTTACAACAACCGAGATAAATGAGCTCAAAGTGTAAGTATTGGGTGGATTTCCATTAGAGAGATTGGGATAGTTTAAAAAAAACGTTTTTCAACATTGAATTACAGCTTGTGTATGACACCTCCCCGACTTGTCAAGTGTTTGTCCTTGCAAATATAATAAGGGTCCAAAAATTGAATAGTTCTAGTAACAGTAGAATCGCATTTCGGATTTATTCAACATCTGAAAAATGTCCTAGTATCACTGGTACACCGGTTCTTGTTGGAGGAACTATTGTGGTAAGGCTCACAAAACATCCGCAAAAATCATTAAATTAATTTCCAGAGTCGCACATACCCACTTCTGGGTGGCTTTTCCCGACGTATCAAGAGTTCAATTTGACTCTCAAAAGCGATGTTTGGACTTTCCAGTCTTCTGTATTCTATTCATGTTATATAGGATACATACCACTGAAAAGAGACAAATATGTCATGTGCATGAATGTAAGGCTACATATATAGGTTAAAACTACACGAGGCTTTTAGATCATTCAAACTGAAACTTGTATAAATAGGACACAAGCAGTGGCAGGATGTGCAGAATTCAACTCTATTGGATTGATGGGGATCGCAAATTTGGAAGAAAGCAGTTACATACGGAGTAAGTTTTTAAAAGATGTCCTGGGCATTATTAGAAAAGGTTGGTGGCAGATGTTGCAATGGGACTAATCTCTAAACAATCCTCGAACAAGACGTATACAAGTCTAGGGTTTTGGATGGATGGAATCAGAAAACCTACTTGTAAATATCCACAACCAAAAAGTGCATCTTGTAATGGCACCAATGTGAGTGATTCCTTTAATTTACTAATAATAACTAAATTCTCAGGAGTTCAACTACAATGATATCTCAGCACCCAATCCAACGTTTCACTGGGCACCAAGACAACCGGATGGGTTACTGAATAACCCTCCTGATTCAATTGTTTATATTTGAAAGTTGACCAAAATGGAAATTCGGGAGTTGATGATGCACCGTAACTTGGTTTTTATTATCTTGGAGGACTAATGAGAACATTTCAGATGTTCCAGTTCTGAAAATGTCACCGCGAATGTATGCATGAAAGGCTACCTATGCGGGATTTATGCAGCAGAAAACTATATTACTTGAAGAAACTTCATAAGGATGGATTGAGAAAAAGAATTTAATTTTCTTCGAATTTTTAAAATATTGTTGCTGTTTTAAATCTTTTCCGTTATTTTCGTTCTGTCCGGGCAACATAAAATTTCTCCAATGCCAAAACAGATATTATCCTTGTCAGATACCAATGAACCTTCTGGCCGAAAATTTAGTTAATGGCGCATAGCCGGCCCTGAAGCGGAAACGGCTACGGTTGTTACAAATAAATTCGTGCGCCTTTAAAACAGTACTACGGAATTATTTTATTTTGACCCATTTTAGGCAGTTGTTCAACTTTATAAGGAAATTAAACCATGAGAATCTGAAGAATTTTATGCAAAAATAAAGCAATTCTGAAGTACTGTATCAAAGGCGCTAGAATTCATTTGTAAAAACCGTAGACGTTTCCGCTTCATGACCGGCTATTTATGCCCCTTTAAAGAAATTTTCGGCCGCAAGGTGCATCGGCGCCGGACAAGGATAATGAGTGAGAAAATTCGGGTATTCGCTTTGGTAGACAAAATTTGAGCTTTGATTATTTCAGCCATACGTTCAGAACACTTTTTTCAAATTTTTCCGGAGAATAATTGTTGTTTTTGTTGTATTTGGCGTATTTTTGAGCTTAAATATTGTTGAAAAACAGCTTTGCGCACATCCCTGATGTAAATGTATCTTGTTTGAGCCCACATTAAAAATATGCATAAAAATATACATTAAATATGCAGAAAAATATACGTTAAAAATATACATAATATGACCCTAAACATCTTCTGCAAGAGAATAGAAATGTCTTCTCGGAAAAACAAGAAGATGACCTTCTCTTTTCATTCGCACCACATCGCGATGAGACTTATTTCTTTTTCTAGTGTTTTGCAGGATATCTTTGTGGAACTTATGCAAAATGAAAAAGAATAATAAAAATAAAGATTTTTATAACGGAATGAATACTTGCAAGCTTATTACAAGGGTAACGGGGTCAGGATACATGAGATTTTTCTGTGATTACATTGGGGAATGAGGTATTGTCGAATTAAAAAAAGTGACACCTGAGAATTTGAAAACTTTTGCTTTTTTTGATCTACGAAAAAGTGCGGCAAAAACGTAATATTTCAGAATTTCGGCTCGTTCGAGCTACTTTCGTGTTTAATTTTAGTTTTTTGTTTATAAATAGATTCTAGAGATGCTAGCGATCGTTTTTATATCAAGAAATCAAAATTTTGTTCAGAAAATCCCACTAAATTCACATTAATAACTGTGTTATCTACAGTAACCGTTTTCGCTCCGCCCCCTCGTAAATCGACACGAGCGCCGTCTCCGAGATTTTCAGGTGTCACTTTTTTTAATCCGACAATAAATAACATGAGAAAGCTACAAAAAAGAAAACTACACAAAGTTTACTCATAAATGACAATATACTTGGGGAGCACACGATGCGGATTGCGAACAATGTATTCCGAGAAGCTGAGAGTTTGGAATCCATACTGTCCATCTCCAGAGTTTGGATCTCGTTGGCGGAGTGGAAGAAGTGGCATTCCGACGCCGTCATTGGTGAGACTTCCAGCTGGGAAGCTGTCTCCGATGTAATGAAGAGTGTCTTCGCCCTGAAAGTATGTGGAATAAAACATAATTTTGGCTAATTGCCAAATTTACCTTCTCAGCCTCCGAGGGCGACTGATTCATGAAGCGATATGGAAGAGAATGCATTTCTCGTTCTTTGCCCAGCGCCGTCTGACAAATCAGCATATAATTGACACCACCGACAGATGGTTGACAGTAGTGGGTGCTCTTCTCGAAGCTATCAGCTAGATAGATACCCGATCCAAAGAGACTTCCGTTACGGCACGCACTTGGTGGATCGACCAAAAAACCATTCTTCAAAATACTCATCAAATTCGTTGCCTTTGTTCCGTGCCACAAGAACTTTTGATTACTGTCGTTGAGGAATGGCTCAAACTTCTGAGTTGATTCTTTCGGCGAGATCTCCAAATCATTTGAACTTTGTTCTGTTTCCACCCGGGTGGAGATCCATTGCAAAATGCGTTGACTGATGTCCGAGTCTGGAGTCTCCATACGGAATTCGCATTGCATTGCGCTTCGGATGTAGTCGACACGGTCAAGGTCATGACGGAATTCTGCTCCACAGAGGAGGCGAGTAGCAGTCTCGACTTCTTGAGCACGGTTTAGACGAGCACGGTGGCGGGAAATTTCCTCGATTGTATCAAGGCGTGTTAGGTTACTGTATTCAAAATCGCCAGATGGAATCAAATTGTAGTACTCGCTGGAGAGCTCGCTCTGAAAATAAAATTATTTTGATAAGTCTATTTTCAAACTGCCTTACCGTTGTAATAAAAGCATCCAACAGATTTGACTCTGACAACACAGTAGTTGCCTCTGACATTTCCTTAATTCTCTTTGCATTCTTTTCCAGCTTATCCAACACCAGCTTTGCCTTCTCGATATTCTCCTTTGTGAATCTTCCAAATGGCTGACTGACTCCATACATCTGAACCTGTCGAGCATATTGTTTGAGTGTCTTGGCATCACTGATATCTGCAATCATTTTGCGAATCGTATCTTTCTCAGTATTCTTCTTCCATGACAATTCGATTTCCGAGAGGTTGGTTGGAGTGTTGTCGGTCTCGACGAGACGATATTTCTTCGGCATTTCCTGGAAATTGGCCAGTGGACACCACTCATTTCCAGCTTTGATTTGAAGATGGATTTGAACTCTTTGGCAGCAAGCTCCAAACTACTGAATGGAGTCGTTTGGAACTCTCCCATTCCCATTCCAATTCTTCCCCAGTTTGTGAATAGAATGTACAAATCGGCGTCTCTTCTCTTGATAATTTGCATACGGTAGAAATTGTGGAATCCATAGCGTCCGTAGTTGAGGTCAGTCTTGTTCATCAGGACGTTGAAATATTGTTGAGTCTCATCGCAAAAGCTGACAGTACCGCTTGTGGCATAAGTGGAACTTTGATGTGGCTTCGGAGCCTCGGCAGCTTGCTTCTTATCTTTTTCGGCTGACCACTTGGCAAGGAACTGTGCGGCATCCTCATCGACATTGCTCAGTGGTTCGATATTGACAGGGCGGAGTGTCAGTTTTGTTTCTTTGATTGGTCTTGGCAGAGCAGTTGATTTGACAATTTTCAACATCTCATTCTTCATTCTTCGATTCATTTTCTGTGCTGCTAATTCGATTGGATTCGGGTTGAATTTATCGATTAAACAGTCCACGATTGCTTTTTTGTTCAAAGCGGCAAGGTCTCCAAGAAGTTCGACGTTTTCCCATGCAAGTGGTACGATGAGATAGTGAAGAGCATTGTATCCCTTTTTGTCACGAGCCGCAAAAAGCTGAAAATTGATTGATTGCACTAAAAAGTCATTATAAGCTTACCGATGCATCAGTGATAGTCAGCTTCTTTCGATTTGGTCCGGATGGTGGGGCGGCTTCCTTTTTGGCTTTCTTGGCTGGTGGTGCCTCATCTTCCTCTTCTCCTGATTCATTATCTTCAGATCCATGCTCAGATCTCTCTTCTTCTTCATCATCCTCCTTTTCCGATTCTTCAGATTCCTCTGAATCACTTTCTGGTGGTGGTGGAGCTGCTGGCATGCTGAAAGCACTGGTTGGCAAGAACTTTCGATTAGCGGCAAGCCCAAAACGCATCGGAACTGCCACACATCGTGGCCCACTAGAAACGATTGGTGCTTGTTTTGGAAGGACAACTGCCAACTTTCCATCTCCGATAACGGCGTCAATGACAGATCGATTGTTGGTCATGAGTGCATACATCAAAGGAGTTCTTCCATGCTCATCAGCAGTTTTCAGGCTAGCGCCAGCGGTTCTCAGCGCTCTGACGAGATCTGCATTCTCTTGAAGAACGGCGAACGAGATTGGAGGAAGAAGTCCGAATTCCAGAAGATTTTTGAATTTCGCTGGAGGCTCTAAAGTACTGAGTGCGTCGATATTGCATCCAGTGATGTGACTGATCTCATCTAGGAAACTAACAGCTTCTGCTGAAATCGACTTCTCATTCATATATAGAACCAGAGAGCGAATTGGGCTTTCAGATGGTCCTTCGGTCTTCTGATTTCTCCATGCCACGACTCCCATCTCATTCTTCAAAAAATTCAGAACATTCCAGTTTCCATGCTCCAGTGCAGTTCGGATGATCTTAAAAGTTTCAGGCTGGTTGAGTCCGAGTCCACGTGTCGCCAGAACTCTGTTCAAGACAGTTTTCTCGATTGTCTCTTCAGAATTGAGTGCTCCGAAGCATTTTTCAGCAAAGGTGTTCAGAAGATCATAGTTTGAATTCAAGACAGCACCGTCTAAAAGAGCCTCCACGGATTTCAAAAGTTGATTCGCCAAATTCAACTGGCCACGTCTCAGAGCAGCATCAGTCAGTTGAGCCATCGAGTTGGTATTCTGTCCAAGAACATCTAACAACACGTAAACCATCGCTTCCCAACTTCCTCCTTTGCTGACTACAGTAGCTGGAATAGTGGTGATTGTGTCCTCCTCGATCTTCTTCGCCTTTCCATGCCACTTCCAGTAATTCTTCTTATCCTTTGAGCGTTCGTTATTCTGATCAAATGCTGGCTTGACTGCTTTGATGAAGATCTTTTCTGTGACATCGGCGTTAGCTTGGATAAGAGTCAGTGCTGAAGACTGTCTTCCATGATAGACTGCAAGAGCAAGAGGGGTGTTCCCATCGTTGTTCTTCAAATCCACGTGGCACTTTTTGCGGATTAATGTCATCAGGCAAATTGTGGAATTTTTGAGAGCAGCCAGATGTAGGATAGTGTTTCCATTGCAATCAGCAATCTCAATCTGATCCGGACGAACAAGAGAAGAGAGCAGGGAGACTACAGCGATTGGGTCACTTTCCCCAAACGGAACATTTCCATCCTTAAAATCGTTCTCATTTCCGAATGCATAATGAAGAGCAGTTCGATTGTACTTGTCGACTGCCTCGATTGGACAACGGGTGGATAGCCAGGCGATTGGTTCCAAGACAGAGTTGGCTGATCCATCACAAGCTAAAGTTGCAACGTGGAGAACTGATTTTCCATCATTGTTATTCTCTCTTGGAACTCCTTTAGCCTCAATCATTTTGAACAACGAAACTGTCTTGTGACTGTTGATGCGAGCAGCGTAGTGCCAGATGCTATTTTCTTTGGAATCCTTTTTTCTCCAAAAGTCATTTGTCGCATTCAACTTCGGAATCAAATCCCACATTCTCATCTCAATCAGATACATGATGATTGTCTTGTTGACATTCTCCTCATTCTCCTTTTCACGGATCGCATTGTGGATTCCATTGACCAAATGCATTTCTGTAGCGGTATCCAACATCAGCTCAACGACGCGTGGCTTATCAAATTGAATAGCCTCGAGAATCAAAAAGTCATCCTTCTCATTTTTCTGTGTCAAAAACTGCTCAATGTTGTTGAATTCTTTGCTGAGTTTTATGAGAATCTTGAAGAGAGCCAGATGGTTTTCCTGGTGCCTTCCATCTTCCAATGGAATACTCATAGCCAGCTTGGCAAGAGTCACAGCGGCAGCGTGCTCCGATTCCATGTATCTTTGAGTCAGCTGGAATGGTCCGAGACGGATGATCCATTCAAAAAGCTCGTTGACTGTGGCGAGGAAAGTCTGAAAATTGAGCAGTTGAATTGTTGGGTCTTAAAAGGATAGGGAAAGATTTTTTACAGGGTGTACCAACAATAGGGATATGTGAAACAGAGGGGAAATTTCAAGGGACATTTTAAACCTTAAGCTCATACGAGTCAATATGTGGAGCCTGTTTTGCATTCATCACATGACCAAATCTACGTTGGCTTTGTGCAATTGGCACATTCTGAATTCAATTAAATGCATTTTTAAAAAATGTATGTCTTTAGATAGACTACCGTACAACCTGTAATAGAAGGCTCTCACAGTTTTTGTTTTTCTGTCAACTGATAAAATGATGATGATACCATGATCAACAATTTATCAGAACTTATTTATATCTTTGACAGAAACCGAGATAAATTAGCTCAATGTTAAAAGATAGGCGGCCCTTCTACTACAGGTTGGGTTACGGTAATTGCTAATTTACACCAACCTGGTTAGCTTCTCCTCTCAACTGCTTATTCGGCGACAGCGCCTGATACTTTTTGACTGCCTCCACAATTGGCGAATATCCAGCCTTGTTGGTTTCATCAATCCATTTAACAAACAGATCCGGAAGTGTGTCATGAAGATCTTTCAGAATCGATAGCACATCATAAGCTGGCTTCTTCAATGTCTCTCCCTTCCAAAGAACTTGATCTCCGTAGACTTTCATTGGAAGAGCAAGAATCTCGTGCAGGAAGTTTTGATGGTTGGCCCATTTCTCGAAAAGCCTTCGTTTATCTTGAACCTTCTCGAGCATCATTGTGAAGAGCATCAAGTTTCCATTAGCAAGAGCAATATGAAGCGGAGTGTTGTCTTGATGATCGTAGGCGTCAACTTTGGAACCCGAACCGATGAGAATTTGGTAGCATTTCTTGTAATCGGCATGTGTCATTCGGGTAGCATCTTTCTCTGGGGTTTCACCCGATCCTTTAAGAATCACACGTTGTTGAGCGAAAAGGTGAAGAGGAGTCTGTCCAGTGCTGTCTGGAATACTTGAGTCGGCTCCTCTGGCGACCAGATACTCAATTTGCGATGCCAAATCCTTATGCATATCTTCATCGGCGTAGGACAAGAGATTAGCCAGAAGGGTTGCTCCATTGTTGTCTTTGGCATTGATATTCGCTTTATCCTTGCTTGGACCCTCCAAAAGCCACGAAACAATTCCATAATGTCCTTTGAGGTAAGCAATCGACAATGGGTAAAGTTGCCAATCATTTGGAGTAGCAAGAATTTCATCATCGATCGATGCCAACAGTTTCAAGCAGTCCAAGAATCCGTAGCCAGCGGCGTAGTGAGCAGCAGTATTCCCAGAAGAATCAGCGAGGAACAAATTTGCTCCCTTGGCAAGAAGGAATGCGGCAGTGTGCATTTGTCCATTGAGCATCGCATGAATAAGAGGAGTGCGCTTCTTCTTATCCTTAGCCTCTACAAGCGCTCCTTTGTCAAACAACTTCTTCGCCATTTCCAGATGACCTTTGGCACAGGCAAGCATCAAGGGAGTTACTCGATTGGATCCAGTGGAAGATGGAAGATCCACCAGGATAGTTGGCTCTGCCAATAGAGCATCCACAGCATCCAGTTGATTGTTGCTCACTGCCAAATGAAGCGCAGAATTTCCAGATCGATTTCTAGCGTTTACAATAGATCTATCAGATCTGATAGTGCTCTCTCCATCGTCGCCTTTCTCCAATTCCAACATTTCCTTCATCAAAAACGTGCAGTTGGCAGCACGTCCAGCGCGAGCAGCGCAGTGTAGCGGTGTCTCGGTCTGCTTCGTCAGCATGCTCACTGATCCTCCGTTTTTCAGCAAGTATTCGACAGGAGCGCTTCCAGGAGCACACGCGGCGTAATGAATAGTGTACCAGTTGTCCTGATCCGGAATGTTGATTGTTGGATAGACAGCTCTCATTGATTCAAGCATGTGGGTTGAGTTAGAGATGGCCGCGGTGTGTAGAGGAGTGATGTTTTTGTTCATAAAACATTTTTTAGCAACAGAGACCGGAAGAATTTTGGCAGGAAGTTTTTGGTCTTTCAGCGTGATACGATGGAGATCATTGCAGTTGTTGCTCACAGGTCCTTGAGCAAGAGCGGATGCCAGCTCGCGATGACCCATACGGACAGCAGTGACGAAACGTGTCTCGAGTTGATGCTCGGCGAATGCTGTAAATTTTATTTTATGAAAATAATGGTTTTCATTAATATCATTATGGTACAAAAAATCAGAGCGGTGGAAGAGAAACGCAAGTGG